ATAAAAAGAATTTACAATTTTTGCATATTAATTCCATCACCGAAATTCTCAATGGAATACAAATGTTGTTTCATTATCAACACGCCAAAGTATTGGAACCGTCTCTCTCTAATTCTATCAATACCCTCTTTCATTCCCTCAAAAATCTTTCTATTCCTCTCATTCCACACAACCCAAAGAATAGCATAAGAATGAGGCCCAAAAAGTTCTTCTGACCCACAATACCCTTCCATACCCAAATTTCATTCTCAACCATGTCCGCCGACGCTTAGTTGTACTCTAAGATCCCAAAAGCCATAGACCATAAGCTGTATGCAATAGGACACTGAAGAAGAATATGATCATAGGTCTTTGCCGCATTCTTGCATAGACAGTACCAGTTCACCATAGTCTTCCCACATCTCATAAGTTTGTCTATGGTCAGATGCTTCCACGAGCTGCTTCCCAAGCGAAAAAAACAACTTTTTGCGATGCATTTAGTCTCCATATCTGTCTAAATGGAACATTTTCTTCATTATCCTCTCTCTTGGTTAAATGTTTGTAGAACGATCCCACAGTGAAATGTCCTGTACGACCTAGAGTCCATAAAGGTTCATCTTGATCCTCATTGAGTGAAATTGAAGATAAAACGTTTTGTAATTATTCATATTCTTCAATCTCCCGATCATTGAGATTACGGATCACATGCACACGTCATTCCCTCCTATCCTCTCCCTTATTGCACACCTCCCTAATGGATTTGTCTTTGTCACGTGCTATAGCGAAAATCTGTGGGAATTTCACTCTCAAAGATTCATCATCAATCCAAATGTTGGCCCAGAAGCACACTCTCTCTCCATCACCCATTCTGCATTTAAGGCACTCCTGAAAATTCCTTTGCCAGTATTGGATTTCAAGTAATGTAGTATCTTGTATACTGCGTGAAGGCTCAGGCCATGTATGAATCGGCTAGCCTGGTATATCCTGTTTACAGCTAGATCTTCATTTGTCTCTTAAAGCTTTTTATTTTTCTCAATTTTGGAGAAAATTTTACGCTGGTTTTTATAAAATAAAGACTCCTTTCTTCGAATAAGTTACTTCAATTCCTAGAAAGTACTTCAATCTTTCAGGTTCTTTTATATTGAATTCTCTGAATGGGCATCTTCTTATTGACTTTTTTTTTCTATTTCTCATCACTTTTTGTCATAATTATTTCATCTACATATGCTAAGAGAGTTCGTGACTCTCCTTTATTTTAGTGTTTTGTAAAGAAAGTATGATCTCTCTGGCTTTGTCTCTACCCAGTAACAAGCATTAATTTGGCAAATCTTCCAAACCAAGCCTTTAGTGATTGCTTTGGACCATATAATATAGATTTTTTTAAACTTGCTCACTATATTATTTTTAATTTTGTTTGAACCCAGAGGGGTATCTGTGCATATCTCTTCCTCCAAATTGCCCAAGACAAAAGTATTCTTTTACTTCGAACTGCTACACCCAATCAAAGTTAGCTGCATAGGAATAAAACTCTTACCATGTTTCTTCTATGGAGGAAATATGTTTTGACAGTCCATAATAGGTTAGCGTACATTCGTTCATCATAAATCTGGTTTTGTATCTTTCTAAGGGGCCATTTGACCAGTACTTCACTGTAAACACCCACTTGTGTGCTAGAGGCTTCCTTTCACTTGCTAAGTCAATTTTATGTTCTTTTCTAGTGCATACATCTCATTTCTCGTAGTGTTTTTATTTCTCATCAAATAATGCTTCATATAAAGTATTAGGAATTTGAATGATGTTTAGACTTAGTAGAAAGCTTCTATGTGAATGTAAGAATTTTTCAAATGACATAAACTTCAGTAGTGGATATAATGAATGTTTAGTGCATTCTCTTATATCTTTCCTAGTGACAATAGGAAGACTATGACCATATGCTAATTGCAGACGAAGTTCTAGAATTGCATTTACTTTATTCACAAGATTGGATGGAGTCTTGAACTTGCGCAGGATCAGGATCCAAGTCTCTTTGTTCTGAATATACTTCCACAATTCTCGTTGCTGTCACGAAGTTCATTATTCTCTATCCTGGGTCTGGTGTGCATCATGAAGAGGGAAAAAAAAAATGAAGGGAAAATAAGATTTTTTTTTTTCTCACAAAAACTGACATCAATAGAGAATTTCTTTTTGGTAGGTAGATAATAGGCAGTTGATTATGCAAGTTGTTGTAACAACAGCTCCCCTCTGATAGGTTTTGGAAATATTTTGGTGAAAAAGAAAGACTCTAGTAGCGTTTAGCAAAGGGCCATTCTTCATCTCTACTCTTCCATTTTGTTGTGAAATATTTGGCATGAGGATTCATGGATAATTCGTTCCATTTGCAAGAAAGAAAGTGTGATAGAGTTGGTTAAAATGATATCCTACTTATCTAAAATCTTTTGATTTTAGCACCAACCTGGTTTTGCATCACGACATAAAAATGGAAGCGAATTGCTTAAATATGATTTGGTTTTAGGAAGGAAGATCCAAGAGACACTAGTGCAATATCAATAAAGGAGATAAACCATCATGACCTAGATACATTTGGAACTGTAGAGGGTCTCAGATATCAGTATGGATCAAGTAAAATGGGGTAGAACTTCTCTAATTACTGAGTTAAAAAGGACATACTTGTGTTTTGCAAATTGAGAGAAATCACAATAAAAATGGTTTAACATTTACTTCTTTTAACAAAGAGATAAACATGGTTTTTAAACTTCCAAAAGATGGGTCGTAGAGTCTAAAATGATGATGCTAAATGGTATCTTTATAGGATGATGAAAAATTCTGAATTTCCTGGTTCTTCAGGATATTAGAGCCCATTGTGTCCGCCAACAAGTTCAATTATTTTTTCCTGTATCGTGTACTGAAATATACAGTAAGAAGGATAGAAAAATCATTACAGTTCCTTTAATAATTTTTTTATGGACACGAGATATGTGGATAATTTTGTAACATGGAGAACTTTTTCTAATATAAGGGATAGACTGATATGAATATCTCGAATATTAACCAAGGTAATGAGAGAACCATCTGACAACAATTATCTTTCGATTATTTGGGCAATGGATATAAGTACTAAAATGTAGTGAAGAATGAGTCATATGATTTGTGGCTCCTGAGTCAATAATTCATCAGTTCCTAATAAGTTCATTTGAGACAATTAATCCTTGAGAAATGGAAAACTTACTTGAGAGTGCAGCAGAGCATGCACCACTAGACTTCAATAATTCTAGAAGCCCCATTATTTTCTTAATTTGTTTCTTACTGAACTCGGTCTGGTCTTATGACTTCTTAATTTGATTGATTCATGATGTTGTTGGTTTGTCCTTGATTTTTCTACTGTCCTACCAAGTGGCCCCACACTTTGCCATGACTTGGTTTCTTGCAATGAGTGCACCAAAGAGAATTCTTGTTGTCCTTTTCTGAGCATCTTGACAAATCTGTCCTCACATCTTCTTGTTAGCTAGCAGTTTTGCTATTTTTGTCATCATCTCTAAACTTTTTAGCACTTGGAGTTCAAGCATAACACTTTTGAGACTCTCCTTGGTTCAAATCAAAGAAATAGTTTCATTTAGAGATGATACCTCTTTCTTGCAAGAATTTGGACCCTAACATTATCAATTTGATTATTGAGCCTGTAACAAAATTGTAAACGTAATGTTTTTAAATAAAATTCTTCAAAGTTGGAGCAATCTTCTGTGCTCTTAGTTTCAAGGCACTGGCAATGTTAAAATTATTGCCACAAGCTTACAATATATTGCATTCTAGATGATAGTTTAATCTCGTGCACTTGTGCTTCATCACAAGGGTTTCAAGTGCGTTTGTCGAATAACATCCTAAATCTCTTTAGCGGTGGATAGAATATGTAAATTCACTATTATATCTGTTGAGTTCCATAACCATGATATGAAATTAAATTTGCTTCATCCCACACATCAAATCTTGGATCTCCTTCCTTCAGTTTTATCCATAGGTTCAAATGAATTGGAACCATTTAGCGTAATTCTTCACATTCAGTTTGTATGTTGTTTGAATACTTTGGAGCTCACCTACCAGTTGGTTTATGAGAACTTTGCCAATATGGAAAGTGGTGTTAAAAGATGATCTCATCTTTATCATTTCAAACATCTTCTCTAGAATGGCGTGTCAGGTCTCCTACAAGTATCTGATAAAAGAGACCTCTAGAAAGAGTAAAGTCTGAAGTAATATTCGAATTATCAACTTCTGCTACAGTGGTTAAAGAATCATCTTTAGCAGCTATTTTTCTGCTACTGGGACATGGGACGTATTAGAATAGTGAGAAGAATTTGTTATATCATTCATGGCTCCTGAGTCTATAATCTATGAATGCACACTAAGTCTATCTGAGGCATTTAAACCATGTGAAATAGGAATTTTATCTAAATATGATAGTAGACCAGCACTTGTGGGATAGAGATTCGAGATTCGCAACCTTTCAATTTCCTTTTTTAAACTCTTTGTACTTTGCAGTCTTTTTCTTCCACTTGTTGATTGTTCAAGTGGGCTTGTTCCTGGTTTTATATGGGACACTTTTGTATCTGTGTTGATGTGAGTTTACCCCTTGAAAATTGGCACGGTGATGAGGAGGCAAACAAACTCTGGAAAAATTAGTGACAGGGAGCTGGACTGTACGGCTGTGTACTGGTGGCAATGAAGGCTGACTATTCAGTGGAGTGGTCGGCGACGAAGGCTGGCTGGGTCTGGCAGGTTTTGGTTGAAGCTGGTTTGGGCAGGACCCATGGCAAAGGCAGAGTGGTGTGTGACTGGATGTGGGGCAGAACACAACAGAAGCAGGGCTGTGCATGGCTGAGGCAGGTGCATCCAGAGGCTGTATGACTAGGCAGCAGCTGTGGGTTGGCTGCTGTTGCATGTTAGTGGGCTGTGCTGGCATGCAGGTACTGTGCATGGCTGCAGCAGGGTCACAGGAGCTGCTGGTTCACGAGGCAGAGAGCTGGAGAGGCTGGCAGCACACCTGCTTCTTGCAGGGGCCTGGAGCACGTCTGGGCAACTAAGAATGTGTGGTGTGCAAAACGGAGCAGCTGTGCTGAAACTGAGCAGGAAAGGGCAGTTTGTGTTGAAAACGGAGCACACAAAACAGGGCACCTCAAAACAGAGGCAGAAACAGAATGCACAGCTGCTGTGGCTGTTTGAGTGGAGAAACAGAAGCAGCTGAATCGGGCAGTTCCGTCAATTAAGGCTGGTTTTAGGTTTAGGGTTTGTCTTGCAATTAAGGTTGGTTTAGGTTTTGAAAGCTAAATAGGTTAATTTTTTTTGTTTCCCTATAACTCAAATACCATATGGGAGAAAAGAATTTTATATTTATTATTGAACAAAAGGGTCCTATATATACACACCTGTTAATATAGAAAATAAAATCCTAAAATTAATTACATATGAGTATTTTACTCTTATAAACTTACATATTAAATTGCATAAATATATATATGCACTTTTCAACAAGAAGATTGGTGAGGTTGCCTACAGGGTAACTCTGCCTCCAGACTCTAGATTTTATCCAGTATTTTATGTTGCTATGCTAAAGAAATGTGGAGGAGTTTCCACTGCCGTCCACAGCATGTTGCATATCACTGGTCTTCAGAATCAGATTCTTGGTGGAGCCTGAGTATACAAAGCAGAAGAGAACTATTAATTGTCCAGGCAAGGCGGTAGAGCAGGTTTTGGTGAAATAGCTTAATATGAGACCTGAGTTAATTCCCTGGGAAGACTGATTGTTTCCGAAAAGCCAGTCCTTGTGCTCAAACACTGAGGACAAGGTTGCCGTGGGAGGGGAGAGATGTCCAGAATTAACATCTAACAGAATAGGAAGGCTCTGTTAGTTAAGTTAGTTAAATGTCTTTTTTCCCTTTCATTGTCCTTACTCAGCATAATAGTAGCTGTTACCACAATATAGCTGGCTGTACGTCAGAATTAGTTATGGTACTGTTCCAACTACGGCTCCAATACAAATATTGTACCACAACTTTGGAATAAATCAATCAAGGGAAATCTAAGAATTTTTCTATTCTGCTTCCTCTCTACGATCTTGCCTTTTTCTCGTATGATTCTCTCCTACTTTCTTCTCCTTCTTCATTCTCTCTTCTGCACTGCTCTGCACCTCAGCACCTCTTAAATACTAAATGAGCACCTAGGCCAGCTAAAAATTCCCTCCTATTTATAGCTATCTGTTGTTTTGAATCAATATATTCATTCCTAAAAGAAGTTAAAAGTAAGTTTGACCTTTTTATTATTGAACAGTTATTTTAACACAGTTTTGCTTTATATACAGGTAAACTGTTATGATTCTTTTCGTGTTGTTGATGCCTTATATCGCTCCAAGTATTTTTTGAGTTCAATGGCCAGCTTCAACCAAAATCCTTTACGGTCTTCCTCAACAAAGTCCCCAGAAAGAAGGGATAGTGAACTTACATTCCAAAATAATGATACTAGCAATGTTATGTCACTGAAGAATATTGGAACTAATGTTAATCTTCATAGAGTTACGATTCTTAACCGTCCTGAAGAGGTTTTTTTGCCTTCAAATGAAATTCAAACTAGCAAGAAGCAAGAAGGCTCTGTGAATACTGAAGTTGTTTCAGCCAGAAGGAGCAATGAGGGTGAAACATATAATTCCTGTTCTGAAGAATTATGTATGCCTATACTGCCTTGGATAAATGGAGATGGAACCATCAATGGGATAATCTATGATGGGCTTAGGCGACGTGTTCTTGGCACTGTAATGCAGAATCCTGGCATATTAGAGGTACATGTTTTTTCAATTGATTTATTTAAAAAAAAATGTTTTTTCAATTGATACTGGTGTTACACAAGTCCAATTTAACCGTTTGTATAAGCTTGCTTTTACAAATTATAACCTCTTTTAAGAAATGCACTCTTTTCTCATTTCTTTTTATCAGGTTTTCAAACAACTTCTAAAAGGTTCCAGTAAATTTGCTTTCTTCTGCAAACTGCTACAAGTTGTGATAGACTTGTCAATTTGTACGAAAGTATAGTCTCAAAACTTTCATATTTTTTTAACCCAAAAGTTGAAATCACTAATTCTTGTTGAAGTATATCATCTGATTTCACCATTTGTTAGAACAGAAAGCAAATGATTGTTGGCTATTGTTTTTAAAAAAAAAAATTAAAATGCTTCCTCTTTGTTGACTTTTGCTCTGCGAGGTTTTAAATAGTTCCTAGTTCATTCTTGTCAAGCTTGGGCAGAGAAAGGTGTTTGGTAGGGTTAGAAAACTGCAATTTTCTTATATGAACCTCTCACTTATTTCTCTTCCTCTTCGATATATTATTCCAGGATGAGCTAGTACGCCGAATGGATGTGTTGAATCCCCAGGTATTCTCTTCCCATGTATTAATGTCTGCATACATCAGTCCTGTAGAATATATAACATTCAATTTTTGAATGAGAACGGATCTAATAAATGCTAACAACATAAGAGCTTTATTTTCCTGTAGGAGCATTGACCTATTCAGAAAGTAGTTATCAATTAGCTTGTTTAGCTTTCCTGTGCCCGGCATGACTCTTCCATGCCTGCCCAAACCCAACACCTCCATCCCCCACCCCAGCCCCCAGAAGTAAAAACCTCTACAACCACCTAAAATTACATATTATTTCATTAGTGTTTACTTTCTGTTAGTCTGTTGATGGAAAGAACAGTGGGGCTCTATGATAATGTTACTAAAGCGAAAGAAAAAAAACATTGGTGATTCTAACTAATTACTTTGACCAAATTAAGCAGAATTGTGATGTAAGGTACTGTTATCGCAACAAACCAAGTCTGTGGGAAGCAAGGTACCTCTAAAAGGCAATAGTAAACACTTACTGTTCTGCTTTTCTTTTTCTGAATGAATTTTATTCAAGGTAAGGTATAAATCCCTGGAAGGCTCACCCCACGAGACTCTTCTCATAAGAACTCAGAACAAAACCTTGAAAACTATTAGGTATCAGGTAAAAAGTGGCAGCCATCTTGCTAAACACCCAATATTGGTTTTTGGTACTTTAGAAGAAAAAGAAATTCCTTGGTTATGGGAAGGGGTTGAATGCTAGAAAGAGAGAATCAGGTTTGAATGGTGAAGCAAAAGAAATCTTGACAGCTTTAGTAGGCAGCTGCTTTATTTACTTAAATGTTTAAGGTGACGCCATGGCACCTACTTGAAATCTCAGCAATCAGTAGTTCAATTCTGCCACTCGTCTCTCATAAATATGTGTATTCATGGTTACTTTGATTATCTCCTGAATGCATGTTTCTTATATTTCAATTAGAGCTGTAAGCAGTTACTTGAGTTGATGATACTGGATGGGCACCTCAAAGTGAGGGAGATGCTTCAAAGTACAAAAGTCGGACCTCCTGCTCTTCTCGGGACAATTCTTGGCAGCCGCTTTAGCAAATCTAAATTGGAATGCCGGAAGCATTTCTTTGCCAATCTCATGAGCACATCATTGTTGTAAGATAAACTTTGTTTATACTACTGCATGTATAAGACAGTATCAATTTCCCAATACGGGTTTACAATCAATTACGTGTATATATTGGAGGCAAAGATGTACCGTTTATATACAACTTTCTGCTTCGCATTTTAGAACTTGTCGCAGGCATAAAAATAAAAACGCAAGGAAAGAAAACAAGTATTATCTCGAGCTAAATAAGTTCAATCGCTGAGGTCTAAATTTTGGGGATTTTTCTTGGATGGTCACAGACTTCTGCAAGAATTTCTGATATGCATCACTATTTCATTGTCCACCACCTTTGATCCAGGTTCGACTTTATGGTAGTTGCACTTATCTCATCAAATATTTGTTTACTCAACAGGTTAGCATGCAAAGCTCTTCAATAAAAAATAGGGCTAGATGTGTCTACATATATACATATATATTATAAGTGTGTACCTTTTCTTTTTCTTTAATATCAATAAATTACGTATGAATCAACAAATACATACACACATAATTTATCATTTATACTAGGGTTGATCACCAAGGTTGCTTAACAACATGCCTTGCGTGGAATATGATCAAAATGCCATGCACCCTTCTTACACCACGTGCCATACCGATCAGTTTGTGCTTAATATACGTATATATTTCATTACACGTGTCTCGGTTAAACTTATTATAATAAGTATGCTACAGGAATTTCTATAAATGATTTCTTTCTCAACAGTTTGTTCCAAATTTATACATACAAGGATTTCTGAACTGTTTCTTTCTTAAGGAGTTACATGCAGATCTTTCCATCTTCATCCCCCATGAATAGGCAGTAGAGTCGATGAACCTATCTTCATCCATCCCATTTCAACATCCCCCACATAAATCCAATAATGTGAAAGATACAAACCCTAAAATACAAACCCATTACTATTTGAATTAATATATATATATATATATATATATTTATATTCAAAGTTTGTTGAATGTTTTGTGTACCTTCCAACTAGAACTTAACAATATTTGTACATAAACCACCGTATCCCAACTTTTATAATATATTGGAAGTCAACCCTAAACATGTAGACTATCGAGATATATATATATATATATATATATATATATAGAGAGAGAGAGAGAGAGAGAGAGAGAGAGTTTGTACTTAATCACACTTAGCAAACTAGCAAATAAGTTAATGTTTTAGGGTAAACACATATAAACAACATATTATATTATCAACTAAAAATTTTGAGAAACTTAACCCAATATATTATTTCATAGATATGACGTATTTACCTAAAGAAGTCAAACTCATTTTTTTATACGCCATGCATAATCGAATATAGGTACATTTCTTCTTACTCGTTTTTGAATCTTTATACGTAGGAGCTTCTTCTAATTTAATTAATAAATGGATTACAAAATGAAAAGTTATACATATATTTTCTAACATTACAAACATTTTTGTAGCCACCTTCGTTTATGAAGACAAAATTATTCATGGGTATTGGGAATATTTAAAATTTTATTTTCAAAATACCATTAACAAGAATCAACCAAACACCTTCTTGTATGGTCATCTTAGGACATGGGTATGAGCTAAATTTGGTAAATTTCTTGGCCGTATAAATTATTTCACGAGGTAAGTTGTATATATTCACCTTGGTTAAACGATGAAATTAACTGATGTATACCATGGATCATTCATCTTGGGATCATTTAACTTGAATTAAATTAGTTTTTGAAGTCACCTTTTCTTGGTTGTCTTTTGCTGAACTTCCATCGTTGGGTATGCTTTCATGGTGTAGGGAGTTCATGGTAGGGTTCATGTTTTGAAGGTCAGCGTGTGGGACTCCTAACCCTAATTTGCTTGCTTGGGATACTCGGTAATCTTAGGCTAATGACTCACCTCTCTTTAAGAAAATGGCCGGTTGCTCTTTTCCGCTGCATTTCAACTTTGGACTTTTCTTATTCATACAATTCTTTAATGGTAAAAAACTGTGTTACTCGGAGTTTGACTTTTTTAGGTAAATACATATTATCTATGAAATAATATATTGGGTTAAGTTTCTCTAAATTTTTAGTTGATAATATAATATGTTGTTTATATATGTTTACCCTAAAACATTAACTTATTTGTCAGTTTGCTAAGCGTGATTAAGTACAAACTCTCTCTCTCTCTCTCTCTCTCTCTCTCTCTCTATATATATATATATATATATATATATATAGATATGATAATGGCCATGTAAGTGTTCTTCTAGAGGGTTTTTCTTTCGTAAGGAGGTCAAGAAGAGAAAGAAATGTGAATCAAAGTTTGTGGCTAGGAAGCAAGTGCAAGCTATATAGATAGAATATTGACCTTATATATATATATATATATATGCATAATTAAAAATGAATAAGTAATTAAAAGGCAAAATCTTATTACAAAAGCATCTGACCAAAAGCAATATGATGTGTATAATTAGATAGAGGTGGATGAAATTTAACACCTGATTTTCAATGGGTTTGAATTTCGAGTTTCCGGCACACAAAAAAAAAATATTATTATTAATTAATTAATTTATAATTTTATGGAATTTTATTGTAAATATTTGCATATTAATTAAGTTTAAGAAAAGAAAAATAAAATAAAAAAAAGAAACACTTTTTTATTAGAGCAGTCAGCAGTGTAGTCAAAAGTGCATGGACACCTGGCACTGTATGCTACGTGTTCTAATTCCTGCGGTTTAAGTACTTTGAAATCTCTAGAATATATATATATATATATATATATCTGTATCATACCATCCATATACATACATATAATATATATATGTCATGTGCTAATTTTGAAACATGGTCTCGAGAAAATATATGAATCATACCTCTCATTATTTATTATATTTTTTTTATGACAAAAAATTAAAAAAAAATTAAATTAAATATTATAAATTAATTACTGTTATTTTATAATATATTTATAAAATAATAAATTTTATCTTTAAACTCACAACATTCAATTTTAATTATTATATTATTATATGTTGTTAATAAACATAATTCTTGATTGGTTTATTCTTGGTCTTTTTTATGGATAATTATTAGGATATTCATTCTTATTTATGTATATTAATTATATATATATATATATATATATATACATACATGCCATGTAGAAATTGCACTTCACAAATAGAGGCTATACCCATCCACGTTCTTACACATGTAAAGGCACATCATATATATATATATATATATTATATAAAGGTATCAAATATTTAGAAAAGGATGGAAATGATTATATGCTACGAGGGTATGATTAATTATTTTAAAATTTTAAATTTATAAGAGAATAAACGAAAGTCATTAATTAATTAGTGTTTAAATATAAATACGTGTATATATATATATATATATATATATATATTTAAAGGAGAAAAGTGAAGAAAGCAAGGCAAGAAGATGGAAAGATTTTCTACCAGTTGACAAATACGATCTATCTACCTTACCGCCCAATCATCCACCTTAATTATATATTTGTAGTAACATAAAGGATAAGGTCAACCTTTTCTTTTTCTTTTTTCCGATTTACAACTCTCGGTTGTATACATATACATACATACATACATATATATATATATATAGATATATAAATATCACCCAATATAATTACTTGGGGGGAGGATTTAATAAATGATACTTAGTATTAATGATAGTACATTTCATGTACCAACCAATAAACTTCTCATTAATTACCAAGAAATATATAACATGCTTCCCCACGTTGTAAGGCATAAATGTATGATTAATAGTCATTTTAATGACTTCATTTGCTTATTTACCATGCGTGTTTATGAACAAACACAGACATGTATACACACATATATAATGCATACACACACTGTTACAAGTAAACATTAAGTGGTAAGAAGACACATGTCATGAGGGCGGCGCCAAATTGTATTGACTTGACATCCATCATACTTAACCATGACACCTTTACAAACACACAACATACACACACACAAATATATATATATGTGTGTGTGTGTGTGTATATATATCCAGTCAATTTGCCTTGCATTAAATCCATAGAAGCACTTTTTTCATTTCAAAAGTAGCTTCAATTTCTCATCAACTTTTGATCAGTTCCCAGCCACGTAAATACATTAGTTAGCACGCAATTTCCTTCTTCTATCAAAAAGCTTTATATCAATGGGAAGATCACCTTGCTGTGATAAAAATGGACTGAAGAAAGGTCCCTGGACGCCTGAAGAAGATCTCAAGCTCATCAATTATATTCAGCTTCATGGCCCTGGCCACTGGCGCACCCTCCCCAGAAACGCCGGTATAGATATACATTTTCCTTTGCATCACTTCACTTATACATATGCCTGTATATCACACTGAAAAACTTATTTTCTCTCTTGCCCATACATAGATATATAGGCATCTCCACCGAATCATTTAAATCTTGTGTTTTCTTTTTTTTTTTTTTTGTTTGCTGCTCTTTACTCTGTATGATAATTTACGTGTTTAACATTCATTTTTACGAAATATTACTTGATTAATTAAAATGTTAAAATAGGGCTTCAAAGATGTGGAAAGAGTTGTCGTCTTCGATGGACTAATTACTTGAGACCTGATATTAAGAGAGGAAGATTCTCATTTGAAGAAGAAGAGACCATAATCCAGTTGCATAGTGTTTTAGGCAACAAGTAAGATTCTTTAACTCTCTCTCTCTCTCTCTCTCTATATATATATATATACATATATAAATATCCTTGTGTATATATACGTATAGTTCATCATGAATTTAAAGCTTATACCATTACTAATTCATATAGTTTGTTAATTAGGTGGTCAGCAATAGCTGCTCGGTTGCCAGGAAGAACAGACAACGAAATCAAGAACTATTGGAACACCCATATAAGAAAAAGGCTACTCAGAAATGGGATTGATCCAATTACTCATGAGCCACGTCTTGATCTTCTCAACCTCTCCACCATTCTCAGATCAACTCTCTCTAACCCTAATTCTCAGCTTCTCACTCTCTCCAACTTGTTAAGAACACAGTTCTCTTCAACCCAGAACTTCTAAATATAGCCTCGACCCTCCTGTCACTCAAGCAAGAAAATCCTGAAACGCTACTCCAATTCCTGCAACAAAACCAGTTGCTTTCCGATTCTCAAATCCAAAACGAAGCGCAGATGTGCAGCAAACCAGTCCAAAGTACTCATCGCTCAAGATGTTTATAATCAACTGACAAAGTTGATAATAATGGATGTCTGGTTCCAACATTGCCGCAAGAAAATAAACAAATGGCTTCTTGGGAGTTTGTATCGCAGCCAAACTATTCCCCATGCACGTCAAACTCGAACCCAAGATCGGTTCCTGCAGGTTTATCAGAAAACTCGAGTTTTGAATCATTAAATCTTATTGATGAGAAGTTAACGAGCTTTGATGGTTTAATGATGTCGTCGAGTCCAACTCCGTTGAACTCGTCATCGACATTCATCAACAGTAGCAGCATTGAAGACGAGAGAGAAAGCCATTGCAGTGGCTTGTTGAATTTTGAAATTCCAGACACTTTAGACATTAATGATTTTCTGTAAATATTTCCATATATAAGCATACAGATAGCTTGATATTTGTAAGCAAAGTAGTGTGTTTGTGATCTGGGTGTTTTTGATGTCTGGTTTTTTGTTAATTTTTTTTGGGTATGTTGGTGGATATAGATATAGATATACATGTAGTAATTCTTATGAAATTTATTTTTCAAATAAATTTTTTTGTTGTTGATTTAATTTTATTATAATCGTCTAAAAAATAAATTTATAAATTAAAAAATAATCAATACTTTTTTGATAGAATGAACATAAATTTTACAACATTCAGAATGTAAAATTTCACACCTTAAACCCGTTATGCATTAACTTGTCGAAGCTAATAATTCTCTCTTTTTTTTCATTTCACGTCCCAAATATTTTTCTTTTCTACACACTTATCTATTTTCTTTTGGCTAAACCTATTTATATAAGTAGAAAGATTACTATTTTATCTTCGACTTCTTTATTATTGTCGTTCATTTTTTTTCTTTATCGTTGTTGTTTCGCCTTTGCCTCTCTTTATTATTGTCGCATCACCTTCGACTCTATATTATAAATTAATTGAAGTCTTAATTTTCAATATTAATTAAATCAAGTTTAATTAACCAATATTTTTGCTTAATTTGCTTCCTTTTAAAGCAATATCTATAATACTCAAAGCACCATTAATTACTGTCAAGAAATCAATATTACACTTCTAAAAATAATATATATGTGAGGCAATTTAAAAGAACATACACAAAGGCATATTATATATGTGTGTTTGTACATATATGATAGAAAATTTGACAGAAAATGGGCAGAGCAAAATGAACCTAAGAATAAGTAGAAGGGAAATGTTTTTATTTAATACTATACATTTGCAGCTTACACAATATATATAGTCATCAGCAATGGCACCATAACAGAAGAAAACAAAAATGAAACAAATGCAGGGCACAGGGAATATCGTAACAGAAGAAAACAAAAAAAGCAAGAAAACATATAGCAGGAGAACGTACCAGCATTGGTATGTGGGCAATGGACAAAAGAAAAAAGAAATAAAAACGGTTACAATTAAATATATTAATTATTCTTAATACTCCCTCTCAAGATGGAAGGTACAGATTTATTGTGCCCATCTTGCTTAGTAAATTGGCGAATTGTGCAAGATGAAGGAGCTTTGTCATTAAATCTGCCAGTTGATTTCGAGTGGATATGTGCATCGTCTTCACAGTACCATCTTGAATCTTCTCACAAACAAAATGACAATCAAATTCAATGTGTTTTGTTCTTTCATGATACATTGGATTTGAAGCAATATGTAGAGCGACTTGATTATCACAGTAAAGTAATGCAGGGCCTTGGTGTTGAACTTTTAAGTCACGCAACAGCTTCAGAGTCCAAACGATTTCACAAGTAGTGTTGGCCATGGAGCGATATTCGGCTTCGGCAGATGACTGAGAAACGACTTGTTGTTTCTTTGATTTCCATGAGACTAATGAAAACCCAAGAAAAACACAAAAACCAGTGAGGGATCCTCTAGTATCCGAACATGTGCCCCAATCAGCATCAGAAAATGCCTTAATCTGAATGGCAGATGATGAAGGAAAGAAAAGACCTTGTCCAGGGGTTCTCTTAATGTACTGGAGAATCCGTAAGGCGGCTTGGAGGTGACTGGTTCTAGGAGTAGCCAGAAATTAACTCAATCTATTGACAGAGTAGCATATGTCAGGGCGAGAGATGGTTAAATACAACAGTTTTCCAATTAGTCGCCGATAGCTGGTGATATCACTCAAGAGCTCGCCATCATCTTTATACATTTTGATATTACGATCCATAGGAATAGATGAGGGTTTACAACCAAGATATCCAGTCTAAGTTAAGAGATCCAATGCATATTTCCTTGGCACAAGGTGATTCCTGTGTCATTTATTGCAATTTCAAGTCCAAAAAAATATCGGAGAGTTCCCAAATCTTTCATTTAAATTTTTGTTTGAGTGTATCTTTGAGTTCTTCGACAGCCTGATTGTCATTACTGGCAATAACAATGTCATCGACATACACCAACAATGCTAGGAAGGTTTTACCTTGTTGTCTGACAAATAGGGAATGGTCACATTGTGACTGATAGAAGCCTTCTTGAAGAAATGTTCGTGAAAACTTATGAAACCACTGTCGGGAAGCTTGTTCAACCCATAGATTGACTTGTGGAGGCGGCAAACAGGTTGATGTGGAAAAGTCTCCCCCTATCGAGGAGAATAGCCTGGAGGAATAGTCATATAAACTTCTTCGTGAAGGTCACCATGTAGAAAGGTGTTGGTGACGTCTAATTGAGTCAGGCGCCAACCATGGATAGCAGCAAGTGAAAGCAAAATCTTGACAGTAACCAATTTGGCAACAGGAGAAAAGGTGTCAAGAAAATCGATGCCAAATTGTTGTGTGTAGGCCTTAACAACCAGACGGGCTTTGTATCTTTCTATGGTCCCATCAGCTTGATATTTAATTTTGTAAACCCACTTGCAATCAATTGGTTTCTTCCCAGGAGGGAGGGAAACAATGGACCAAGTGTTATTATCCTCTAAGACACGCAACTCCACATTCATAGCATTCATCCAAACATCGGACTGGTTAGCTTCATGAAAGTTGGTAGGCTCAGTGTGGGAGGAAATGAAGCAAATAAAGTTGTGATATTGGGAGGTAAGTTTGGTATGAGTAAGGAACGAAGAAATAGGATAGAGTGCACGGGTATCTATATGGTAGCAGTGATAGTCAGACAAATAAGAGGGTGGTCGTGTTATACGTAGTGGGCAAGATGAGCGTGTTTGGGAGGATTCACGTTGTGAGCAAAAAGGTGTATCAAGACAATCTGAGGACTGTGTAGATGTATGGAGAGGAACCGGTAAAACACGATCTTGAAAGAAATCATTGTGAATGGGATCAGGTAATTGAGAGGAAAGAAACGAGAAGATATGTTCATGAAAAATGACGTTACGTGAGATAAAAATTTGGTTGCTCTTGATGTTGAGAAGTTTATATCCTTTGTAGCCCGAAGGATAACCGAGGAAGATACAAGCCCTAGAACGATGTGAAAATTTGTGGCGATGACTATCAAGAGTTGAGCAGTAACATAGACAACCAAAGGTACGCAAGTGATCATAGGAAGGTTTTTTTTGAGTTAATAGTTCGAATGGAGTTTTATTTGATAACAAGGGGGACGGTGTACGGTTAATTAGGTAAACAACGGTCAAGATGCAATCGCCCCAATACACAAGGGGAATATGGGATTGAAACAGCAAAGCACGAGCTACATTTAAAATGTGTTGATGTTTACGTTCAACGATAGAGTTTTGTTGGGGAGTCTCAACACAAGAATGGTAAGAAACAATGCCCTTCGATTTGAAAAAAGAATGAAAATTCAGCTCGTGCGCATTGTCAGATCGCACAGATTTAATGGAAATATTATATTGTGTAAGTATAAGAGTATAAAATTCAAGGAGAATAGTAAGAACGTCGGACTTTTGACGAAGGAGATACACCCAAGTAGTTCTAGTACAATCATCAACTATTGTGAGAAAATATTTTTACCCTTCGACAGTGGGTGGAGAGAAGGGTCCCCAAATGTCAATGTGGATTAGATCAAATGGATTATCAGATAATCTATTGTTAGAAACGAAAGATAATTTACGTTGTTTAGCTAAATGACAAATCTTACAATGAGAAATTTTCAAAGTTTGTAAGGAGTCATTAATATACTGAAGTTTTACATTGGAAGGATGACCCAATCTAAAGTGTCATAGGCTACTTTTAGAGTGAGTGGAACATAATGAACAGCAGGAAAAGGAAAACATCTGGTAGTTAAGTAGTAGAGGTTACTAATGCGTCTACCCTTCCCAATCAACAAGTCCCGAGTGCGGTCCTGAATGACACAAGAATGAAGAGAAAAATCAATTGTGTAGTTGTGGGTGGTGGTCAACATGCTGACACTGACAAGGTTAAAAGAAAAGTGAGGGACAAAGAGAACATCATGTAGAGTTAGGGTGTCGGTGAGTGGTGTACTTCCAACTTGATTGACTATCACTGAACTACCATTTGGTAAAGTGACTGAAATGGGATGCACAGTTTTAAGGTGTGTGAAAATGTGGGTGTACAACAAATATGATGTGTGGCTCCAGAGTCAATGATCCAGTATTCAGAGGTAAGTGTGTGTGTGAAATTGGAAAGACAAAAGGGTGTGTATGATATACCTGCCGCGTGAGGGTCAAGGGTGGTATGACTTGCAGAGAGAGATAGAGTGTCAAGCATGATGGCGGTGTTGGGTTGGTGGAGGCGTGCACTTAGGTGAGCAATAATGTTCTTAATTTGTGATGTGCTTAAGTTATTGATATAAGCAGCGGGATGAGATCCCGGTAAGCAGTTGTCGAGAGAGTCAGAAAAATTCTATTGTCTTGTGGTCGGGTGCATGCCCAAGGAGGATGAAACTTCATGGGCCAAGGTATGGTTGGCTGAAAAGAACCTAGGCTTGGATTGAGGGCCAGGTGGGTTGAAAAAACTAGTTCCATGAGTGGGCCGAGAGATAGCTGGTGGGTTACGGTCTTAGGCCCGCGTTTGGGCAGACCCCTCATAAAGACAGTTGGAGCATTGTGGGTCTGTTTTTGGGCCTGCACAGTTCCATCATTAAAACGTGTTTTGGGCTTGGGCTTGAGGCCCGGTGGGTATCCATGTAGGCGGTAACATCTGTCCACAGTGTGGCCCACAAGCCCACAGTGTGAACAGATGGGTCTCCTTCTTCCTTGAGTTAGGGCAACAGAGGGTGCGGAACCGTGACCTGTTTCTGCGTGTGAGTCGAACCCGATTGCACGGTGTCGTTCCTCCTGCACCACCAGCAAGAAGACTTTCAAAATGGATGGAGAGCATTCCATCATCAAAATTTGGGCTCTAATAGCAGCATAGGAGGGATTTAATCCCATTAACAAAGTCATCTGAGCAAAAAGATGTTGGTTGAAGGTTTAAGGCTCTGATACCATGATAGAAAATTTGACAGAAAGGAGGCAGAGCAAAATGAACCTAAAAGTAAGTAAAAGGAAAATGTTTTTATTTTAATACTATATGTTTGCAGCTTACACAATATATATAGCCATCAGCAATGGCACCATAACAGAATAAAACAAAAATGAAACAGAATGCAGGGCACAGAGAATACTGTAACAGAAGAAAACAAAAAAAGCAGGAAAACATATAGCAGGAGAACGTACCAGCACTGGTACGTGGGCAATGGACAAAAGAAAAAAGAAATAAAAACGATTACAATTAAATATATTAATTATTCTTAATAATATATAAAGAATATATCTCATATATAATTGTATTAACTAATATGTAGGTTAATAATACTTGAAAAAGCAAATATTACGTCATCAACCATCACCATTATTGCAAATATTACACTTTTAAAAATAATAATGAAAGTTATTAATAGTGAAGTGATCTCTTTTAACGTTAATTCTAACTTTATTCTAACTATTAAAATTTAATTTATGAAAAATTAAACTGTTAAGATACAATAAATCTATTGTGAAAAAAATCAACGTGCTAACTATTTCACAAATCAGATTTTTCATTGCCCTGAACTATATCACTTACAGCACCTTCTTATAAAATTAATGAGTATCTTTAGAGATGTGTCTTCGGATTTTTCTATTGTGTTTGTCTTCTTCCCTTGTATCCAAATATATATATATATCAAGGCAATTTAAAAAGAACACACACAAAGGCGTATTATATATGTGTGTGTATATATATATATATATATAAAGAATATATCTCATATATAAGTGTATTAACTAATAGGTACGTTAATAATAGTAATAATAAAGATGAAGAAACAAATTTGAAAACGCAAATATTACGTCATCAACCATCACCATTATCGCATATCTTTCTTCCTCAATTCCATTCCTTCTTCTTTACTCATCTTACCAACTCCATGGAGGAGATAACGTTCAAAAGAAAAAAAAACAAACAATTAGAATTCATTTAACTTAAAGTTAAAGCATTTGATTTCAAATCATCAAATTTAAAGAGCCATTTTTGTTTTTTACCTGCTTCTTCTTTTTCTTCCTTCCCATTTTTCTAATTTTCTGGTGGTATAGATGGATAACACTACGAATTTTTTGACTTTACAGATGAATTTTTAGGTCAATATTATATTTAACAACCCAAATCTTTATAAAATAAGATTTGAATTTGACATGAATCGCTTTGAAATTTCTTCCAAATTTATGTTTATAATACCTGTATCACATATTTTATGGGCCTTGTATGGGCCTTGTCATGCATGGGTCAAGTTCATCCAACTAAAATAATGGAAATAAAATGTGTGTGTGTGTGTGTGTGTGTGTGTGTGTGTGTATATGTTAAATGTATGAATTTGAAAATTTACTTTATAAAGTTACTACTTTAGGGTGTGAATATATTTGCATGTAAGTCTGAAAATATTTACTTTTTAAGTATTGCTATATATATTTTGTATGTATAGTCAATAACTATTACATCTCCATTCACTAACACCCTTATCTTTGATAATGGAGAACCCAAATGGCCAGAGTTCTTAGTCATATATATATATATATATATATATTTATACATATAATGAATAGAATAGATAGTGGAGTTTCCAATTTCAAAACTTTTATGCATTACTAATTATAGATTCGAACCACATAATCACTAGAATGGAAAGTTGCTTTATCCCACTTAATATTTCTTCATCATTTCTTACCGCACGCCTTTCATTTTATAATCCAGAAGTGGGTGGCTATACGCACGCACATATATATACACATATATATATTAAGTGTATGTATGTGATTCCATGTCCTTGGAAACCATTTTGAAGTGTCCTGTTCTTGTTGTATTCATCGGACTTATCTTCTACTTTCGCTCTTCTGATTCCAGAGAGATCAAGTTTTATTTTTTTCTTTTTGGCTCTTCATGAACAGCTATATATATATATATATATAAAGAAAAACGAAAAAGCTAATGAATATGCAATAATATAACACGTACCCACTTTCTTTTTCATGATTTCCAAATCATTTTTTCCCATTTTGTCTTCTTTCAAACCCTAAAAACATATCAAATCATTTGCTTCTGTTCCAAGAGAAATGAAAACCATATTTAATCAAGTTATAAAACTGCACTGGAAAAGATGGAATATGGGGGAGATGGAGATAATTCGATTATCATCTATAATAATAAATAACTAATTATGAAACTGGTGGTAACTTTGTAGACTATGATGAACTAATATTTAAAACTTATATATGTAAATAAGCTGAATTATAAGGACTTGACTGTTTGTTGGGTGATGGGAAGGATTCAAATATATATATATATATATATAAATATGTTTGTGTATCATGGCAAAAAGGATCATCCACGTATCTTTAAAGTAGAGAGACATGAAAAAAGAGTGAAAGAGATGGATGGGGTAAAATATTGACAAAGTTTTGCAGCTGGAAAAAGAAAAAGAAAAGTGAGTGAAGGTCTGGTCTGGTCTGATCTGATCTGATCTGATCTCAGCCTCAGAGATTCCACTGAACAAATGTAGAAGACAACCATTATTGTACCTTTGTTTTTTTTTTTTTTAATCAAAGCTCATTTACCCATGTCTTTTTTTCTTCTTAATTTAATTACTCTATTCATCTTAACTTAATCCACTGATTAATTACAGTTTTAATTTTCTAATTTTCCCTATTCCCCATCTCAAAATAATTCAAATTCCAAATCCTTTACCCATGTCTTCTTTTTTTTTTCTTAATTTAATTACTCTATTTATCTTAAATTAATCCACAGATTAATTACAATTTTAATTTTCTAATTTTCCCCAATTCCCCATTTCAAGTAATTCAAATTCCAAATCCTTTACCCATGTCTTTATTTTAATTTTTTAATTTTCCCAATTCCCCTTCTCAAATAATTCAAACTCCAAGCTTTTACCCATGTCTTCTTTTTTTCCTAATTTAATTATTCTATTTATCTTAACTTAATCCACTGATTAATTACAATTCTAATTTTCTAATTTTCCCAATTCCCCATCTCAAAATAATTCAAATTCCAATAATATTTCAAACTCCAAGCTTTTACCCATGTCTTTTTCTTATTTAATTATTCTATTTAAGTAAAATCAACCATTTTAATTTCTCATTTTTTTCCCAATTCCCATCTCAAAAAATAATTCAAATTCCAATCATATATATATATATATATACACACACACACACACACAAATAGTGTATAGTTCCCACTCCCAAAATCTATAAGAGCTAGAAAAAAAGTGCCAAGTGTTTAGATTATATGATCAAATGGAGGCATAGGGAGATGGGATACACTAAGCTTTTCATAAAAGTAGACTTTTTTGGTCCAAATAATTCTTGCTTGATTGACGCTTTACCTTTTCTCTTTAAATTAATTAATTAATTAATTACTATTTTTCATTTCTTAACATCAAATTATGATCCACTTTTTTTATTTTAATTTTTTCAGTACGGGCAAAAAGGGTACATTCCAATCACTACTCTTCGTGTACTAAAATTAATTTTCTAATACAAAGATTAAAAAATTAAAAATTGAATTTTAAATTAACTTTACCCTTTAGAGTTTAATTATTTTTTCTTAATTATATAATTAGCCTTCATTAATCATTTAATTACATATGTAATTATTAACATGGTAGATATAATAATAATAATAATAATAAGATGGCATATTTTCAAATAGAGAAGACAGCCATAGCTTTGGACAATTCTCTCCTGTCTTTATACCAACGAACAGTAATACGGTGTCGTTTTGGGGGAGATCTTTTATTGTAAGCGCCTATTCCTTGTGAAATCAATATTTAATAAAAATGTATTTTTAAAAAAATATTATTTATGTTATCTTCAAAAGAAATGTGTGTTTTTTAATGGCTATATACATATACATATATATATATATATATATATATTAAGCAATGCAATGCTGCTTCGCTGTCACCGCCACCGATCAGCTTACAGAATAAATAAATTATAATTCCAATATTTGTAATTTAATATTATTTCCATTTAATTTATTTAGTATTTTTAACATTCAACATTATAATTTATTTTAAAAAATTTAAATTTATAAAAAAATATTTTTTCAGTTTTTAAAATAAGGTTTTTATATAAAGTAATAAAAAATAATTATATATATATATAGATACATGGACGATTTATTTACACACGTACATAAGATGATGAGGAGGAGGCAGGTGCATATTCATGTCGAGAGCATATTATAACATAACATTAGGGAGAATGAAAAGGAAAAAGACACCACAAGCTGACAAGTGCCAAATACTACTGTCACACCCCACATATATCTCTTTTCATCCTAGCTTTACGTCCATATATACATACACACACACACACACACACACACACATATATATATACACATACATACATACATACATACATACATACATGTATATAATATACCCATGTAAAAAGTTACGATAAATAAATGAATTATTGGTTTGTTTCGTGAACTTGGAGCGTCTGAGCTGGTTTCTTCTCTCTCTTTCTCTCTGTCTATCGGTATATGAGTGTATGTACGTATATGTACACTCGCATCCCATCGACATCGAGAGAGAGATTTCTCCCTTTTTCATGTGGATGCTCAACCTGTAATCCCTCCCTCATCTCTTTTTCTTCCCTCTTCACAAGCAATAGACTTTCTTCTTTTTTACTACACAAACCCAGAAACTTTGCTTCAGCACCTTTTACTTGCATATTTATATACATATAGGTATATATTAAGCCCATTTCATCTCCTCCTCCTCACCCTGTTTTTGGTTTCTTCTTCTGGTTGATACTCAGAGCTGAAGAAAGGTTTCTGCTTTTGCTGTTAAATTCCTATGAATATCTCCTGAATCTGTGTTCTTCTTTAAAGTTTTCTCTTTATACAATTATGCACTAGAAAAGCACCTTCAAAAAGTTCCTTTTTTTTTTATTTGAAAAAAAAAAGGTCTTTTTCTTTACCAACTCTCTCTCTCATTTCCCACTTATCTTCTCCACTTTTCAATTCTACCCATCTGATTTTTTTTTCTTCATCAAAATCAAAAGGGGAATACCTACTGATTTTCATTATACAGAAAAGCTAAAACCCACTTATTCTTTCACAGAAATCATGCAACAGTTCACCTTCGTTTCCACATTAACAGCTGCCTTCATGTTATCTTTCATGGTATCTGAAACCCTCGCGGGTTTTCTGACCGATCCAGTTTCCGCTCACGACCAGCCGCTCAAACCCGGAGAGTACTCCTCAAACACGGTGCCGGCCTTCCCTGTTCAAACCCAAGCACAAAGTTGCCGACTTGACCTCTCGGCCGAGCTATTCGGCGGGGTCAACGAGGCCTGCGGGAGAAACCTTGACCGAAGCCGATGCTGTCCGGTTCTAGCAGCGTGGCTCTTCGCGGCACATGCGCGGTCAGCTCTTCAAGTTCCGGCTCCGGCTCCTGCGCCGGCGGAAGCTGAACCTGACCTTCCGATGATGCCTGACGATTCGCAGAAGTGCGTGAACTCAATGCAGAGCGCTTTGCTGAGCAAGAACGTGAAGATTCCACAGCCGAATGCGAGCTGTGATGCTATTCTATGCTTCTGTGGGATTCGGCTTCATCAGATCAGCTCGCTCAGCTGCCCCGCCGCCTTCAACTTGTCGTCGGGTTTCCAGAACGCCACACCGACGGCGGCCGTAAAGAATCTGGAGAGAAATTGTAGAAACTCTTCTTATGCTGGGTGTACCAAATGCCTTGGAGCTCTCCAAAAGGTCAGCTCTTTTTTAATTTTCTTCTTCCCAAAATCTTATCTTGAAACTCTTTATAGAATGCATGCATTCTCTTCTCCATTATTCACTTTTTCATTTGAGTCTTTTGTTAATAATTCAATCATCATTATCAACAAGATGCATTTTTTTATTTGATTAATGGAAAAATTAAAGAAAACATTATAGGGGTATTAACTCTCTGAAATTTTTATGCGGCAAAATGCATTTTTTATGTATTTTAAATGGTAAAGATTTAAACTTTACAAATCACAATTAGTTGCTTCAATTACACTTAACAACACTAATCATTATAATTAATGGGTTTTCATTGGGTATACTAAATCACATGATTAGTAAAGTAAAGGGGTCTCTTCCTAACTCCTGCAATTTCATGAAACAAACCCAAAATGTCATTCTGGTCGAGCCAAGAAAACGACATGATCCTATTCTCATTGGGTCGCGTATAGAATTACTAAAATACCCTTATGAATTCCTTGTAATTACAGCTAAAACGAGGCCACAAGAACGGGACGGCGGAGGACCGGCCAACGACCGATAGAGCGAGTAAAATGTTCGACAGAGATTGCCAGCTGATGGGGCTGACATGGTTACTGGCTCGTAACAAAACGGCATACATTCCCACCGTTTCGGCGGTTTTACGAGCCATAATGTACAGTGCGCACCCTCCACACGAGTCGAAGTGCAGCCCGGATCAGGAGAACATGCCGTTGGCCGTTGACTCTCTACAGTTCGAGAATAGTCAATCATCTTCTTCCTCGCTGGTTCCTGTTGTTGAAAGCACGATTTTGCCCCTAATCATTTGGGTCTGGTTGTCCTTGTGTAGTAAGTATATGTGACTGTGATACCTCAAGCTTCACGTGAAGCTAGAAGACAAACGGGCTGTTGGGGATATTTTTGTCTTTTTGCCCTCTCTGTAAATTGAAAATTTCCAGCTCGTTGTGAATTTTAATTTTGCCTTTTTCAGTCGCCAGGCTTTTTTACTTTCTTTTACAGAGTAGTGGGAGCAGCTTAGTTTCCCATTTCTATTAAAATATAAAATTTAACTTAGTTTCATCAGTGTAATTCTAATATTACCAAGGGTAGAACAAGCTTTCAAGAATCTTGATGTGGGTAGAAGACGAGAGTGATTTTGAGGGAGGCAGTCAAAACTTTTTAACTTGGGTTTTGTTACTACTAATGTTTTGTTCGAGAGTGTGAATCCCGAGGACTGAGTATGTTTGTCGCTTGGTAAATGAATAAATATATATATATATATATGGAGATGAAAATTTGCTTCGATTAGGTTAATTAATTAATAATTAACAAGCGATTAAGGACGGCTTTCACATGTTCAAGGGAGAGAATCGCGGTTGAATGTTTGTCTTTGTGCAGCTTCTCCCTTTTCTATGGATTCAATGTATTGATTTACTTCTCTACTGTACAGCATAACAGAGATATATATATATATAGGTGTATATATTGAAGTAAAATATGTAAAATATAGATGCAGAACTGAAACCAAGTCAATGGCGCTTATGGACTAATGACAAGCTTAAAGAAAATCCATCTGCAATCCATTTTCTGCAAGATCTTCGGTAGTTCATATCACTTCAATGGAAGGACATTATTTCCCAGAAAACAATGCGTATCTTAATTGTATAAAAAAATGTTGTATATAAATCAAATCCAGAGAATTGTATGTAGAAATGCTGTACGTATAACTTGAATTCAGCTTTCTTGAATCAAACTTCACCAACCTTTACCAATGAGCCATAACCAATCAAGTGTAACCCCTGAAAAAAGTCCTCCAAGAAGGAACAACACCAGTAAATTCCCCAATGCATTTTGCTCTGGTCCCTGCAAAATATGAATGTACATTATCAGTTTTCTTGAGCACAACTAACTCCTCGATTTAGCTCATTGTGTAATGAACAAACCTTATAGCCCTTTGGTGCTGAAGTAAGAACACATACGGTAAGGTAACCGTTAGTTAAACCCAAGAAGGATGTTAGTAGAATCATCCAGCCCTGATCACCATATTTTGCTGTGAAATAGAATGCCGGGACCAGGAGAAAACGAGAAAGAATTACCGCCATGAGACCTTTTCGTGACTCCAACTTCAAGAATTTCAGTAGTGGAATGTATCTCCCAATAAGATCCCACACATTATACATTGCTATTAAAACAAGTGCGTACCTGTAATATATTGAATAGTTATAGAGTACTATTATGCATCAATACAGAGTTTATATCTAATTTTATACATGAAAACATACCATGTACCTAAGCTATGCTTCCCAGTATCTTCTGATAGAAATCCGGGTAAAATAGACAATGTCAATGCATATATCAGGAATATATCCAGTGCATAATCGATATTCTGAAACAGTAACTCTTTGTTACTGAGGCGTTCGGGTTCTTGTGGATCTTCATCATCCTACATAAAAGATATCAACTTAAATACCGAATCAGAAATCAGAAAAAATATTCTGGTATTCAGTACAAGATAAAAGGATCGAACCACTTCCCCAGGCAAACTTTGGATGCCACCAGCAGCAAGGTCAGCTGCAACAGTTTTTGATCCTTCTGAGGCAGCTTTTGCTCGATAAAACTTCACAACAGGTAGCTTGGGAAAGGCATATGCATAAAGAAGAACGCAAAGAAGCTCGAAGAACGAAGATATAGCAAAGAATAAGACTGAAATGACCCCAAAAAAACTACTTTTACCAACCAAATTAACCCAAGAATAAAAGAATCTGACATGTTAATCTGTAAACCAAAGAAATAAATAACCAGGGACTGAAATAGTACACATTTCATCAATACCAGAAGCCTTTTCATTAGCAATAAGCCAAATACTATAGATGCTATTAACAAATTAGTATCAGTTATCTCTCCCTTAGATGAAGGAAATTATCAACTTACTGGCTCCCTTACGAAGCCCATTTTTAGTATGCTCAAATGCAGCTTTTGTGATTAACCTTAACATAGAGGTTAACACTCCTGATGCGGCCGAACCAGCAAGAAAGGACTAGAGAAAACACAACGAGAAAGAACAGAAAGAGCAGATAAGCCGAATATGAAAAACAGAGAAATCAATTCATAATGCCAACTACAAACTCTCACTTGAACAAACTCTGGCCTCATTAAGGAGAGGTCTCCAACCATTCCACCCTGCACATGAGCATCTGCAACTCCAAAAGCACCGCTAATCACACAAATTCCAATAAAAGTTCCTAGTCCTCCTTTCCCGGATGTAGCTAGATCCAACTGAACCAGAACAAATTATAAAAGAGAAGTGAATTATAAATATAATAGCAAGATACTGAAACTTGTTAATGAAAAAATATCCAGAAAACCTCACAATTAAAACCAGGAGAGAACTTATGAAGAACAAGATATAACCAAACAGATTACGCTGTCTAGTATTGATTTTTGCCTCATTGTATGTTAGAACTGCAAGTGTTATGAATGCGAATGGTTGATATACAAGAGTAAGAACCCTTGATGGGTGGTATTGCTGCAAAAGGAGAAAGAAAATAAAGTTAAATGATTCGTAGCAATAAGGACTATTGCCCCAACAAAGTGCTAGAACACTCTTTCAATTGTTAGGTTTATGCACTCAATACAAGAAACTAAGACCTAATCCTCGTTATTTAAATATATTCATATTATTTTGAGTATGATAATCAATTTGACTCGAGTCAAATCCTATCTTTTGAATTACGATGTTAATTGTAAATTTTGTATATGCTCTAAGTAATTGAATGGTAAGGAAATTGGCATTGATTTGAGTAGAACGATTCATAAATGCTGCCAAAAGTCAAAAGTGTTTCTGTAAGCCTGGAAATCATCAAGGGCTAAGGCTAGAAAATCATTCTAAAAAGAGAAGAATGTATAAGCTTAAAGAAGAAAATTACAGGGAACAAGTAAACATAGTAATCTTGTATTGTGAGCATACTGTTCCACGAGAAAAGGCAGCCATTTCCAAGAAGCCAACAGACAACTATTGCAGTATATTTTCCCTAAAATAACACCAAAATTAGACGTTAAGAACTGTTACAAACATAATTTTCCCTGCCAAAATTTTCTTGCCAAACAAACGAATCAAAACTTTAAATGACAAAACCTCAAGTTTAGCTGGAGCTGCCCGAAAGGAAATCATCATTACTCCCTCTAAAAACACCTCCTCCTGCAAATGGTTTCAGATTATTCACTCGAAACCTTCGAGTACACCAATGCTGAAAAGGGTTCCTCGAATAAAATTAAAGAAAGATTTTTCAGCAATAATTTTAGCAACTAAAAACTGGGAATCCTTTAGAATCTTATAACAACTAGGAGTATAGGATTTATATATACTACAAGAAAAAGCTTTTACTAATCCTAATACCAGAAACCCATTACTTTATTTCAATCTCATTTTCAATTACTTTATGCTGCATGTTTCTGCACGTGAGGGTAAAGATCATCTCAAATACAAAAAGGGTACGCACAAATCATTAATAGAAATAAATATAATATTTTGACCACAGCTGATAATGACTCACCGACGAAAAATTTATGGCTGGAAAGAACAAAGAGTAGCTTGTCGGGCACAAAAGTTGTTCTTCTTTTCAGGCACAGTTAGAGAGTTCGTAAAATTTTCTCTTCGTTAAAATTTGAAGATCATCAGGAACGTTTTGCGAAACTATTCGAACTCGCAAACGCAGATCAAACTCCTCGGCCCACGAAGAATTTGGAAAGCATGGGAGTGAGAAATATACGGAACTGTTTCTCTTTGCATTATACGAATCTGCAGGATAAAATGGAAGAGGATCATCTGCACCATACTGGTTAAAAATTTTCATTTTATGAGCTTCAATTACTTATTTCACTTCATTTTTTTACTATATTTAAAATAAACTATTAAATTAATTTTTAAAATTTTACTGTAAAATTTTTTAATATTTTTATTGTAATTTAATCCATCGTATCTTCTCGTTTTAGAAAAAAAAAAAAAACATTTAATTAATTTTTATTTTCTAACTATAAAAATTAAATAATTAAATAATATTTATATAAAATTTTAAATAATTAATTAAATTAACATATTAATAATATTATTAAATTTATTGATATTAATTTATTAATTTAATTAATTAATTAAAATTATTTTAAAAAAATATCTAAATATTGCTTAATTATTTCAATTTTTTAAAAAAAATATCAAAATAATCATACATCTAAAATAAATTAAAAAATTAAAAATCAGATCATAATAAAAAAATTAAAAATGAAATTATAATAAATATTAAAGGCTAAAATTACTATATTTTATCTTATCACTTTTAAACAATGGTAATGATAAGTATAGGCAAAAGGTACTACCAAAAATAGGCAAATCTTGTGGGGCACACAATGCAAAATTACCATTTTACCCTCAAAAATTTAGAGTAAATTACTATTATACCCTCAAAAAATTTGTTTTTGGGAAAATAATGCAAGATTGGGCCTACATTTTTTGAAAAGTTTGAAGCCCACATCTTGTTAATAAGCTTAAAAATACCAGCCGAAGTGGTGTAGTTGAGCGTACAAATAGGTCAATTATCTGACTCCTACGACGAACCACCCTTTTGTTAGGATCCTACAACTTTGACGTGTAATTCATTAGAACCTTAATTTAGTAAAAATATTGAAGTAGAATAATTTTTTGGTAATTATGATAATTTTAAGAGATTGTGATAAAAAATGAATTCAGAAGAAACGAGAGGAGTTCTAGAACGAGAGAAGAGGGGAAGTCGTGAAGAGAGAAGAAGAGAGTTTGTGAGAGAGAGAGAGAGAGAATGGAGATTTTAGAGAAAAAAAGAATGTTTTAGAAAGAGAGAGAGACTCTTAAAAAGAGAAGAGAGAGAGGCTATTAGAGAGAGAAAGAGTGAAATATATAGAGAGAGAGAAGAGAAAAGAGAAAAATAAAAAAATATATATGATATTTTATTTTAAAAGTTACATATTTTAAGTTTAATTTACAACTAATATTTATAAACATGAAGAAGTATATGAAATTCTTATTATCCATTACAAATATTCGGATAAATAAAAATGCTTATCAATCATTTCAACTCTATCGGTATATAACTTACCAACTATTACGATTGTTGAATTTTCGAACACTTTTTAACTTTTATGTCGATTAATTTATCTTTTTAAATCATAACAAGTATCAAAATTTTAAAATTAATTTAATAATTTATTTTGTTATTTAGAATGGATAATTTGGTATTTAAACTTTTATAGAATTCAACAAATAATATGTATATATATATATATATATATATAGATTTGTGCTTATGAATTAAAAAGAAAATTGGAAAAATGAGGTTGATACAATGGTTGGATCCAATCTCCCTTGAATCTTTTTGTGTCCCATTAGAAATTTCATGACTTGACCCCATCCACCACTCCCCTCTTTTTGTGCAGACATTCAAAGTCAACACTCACCGCTTGGACCACCTGCAATTTTAATGATATTACAATTTTATCCACCCTGATATCATTATTCACCTACTCTAAATAAAAAAAAAATAAAAAAAAAAAGTATACAAAAAATCAAAACTCATTAATGATCTAATAATTACGCAATATACGGAAAACAAAAAGAAATGTATGTATGTATATATTATATATACACACTTCATATAATATTTCACCACTGCCGAGCGAAACTGATTAGCCACTAGTCTATCTCTGTGTCTATCTCTAACTTCATCTTGTCAAATATATTACAGGTAATCCGCCTCCAAGTTTATCTCTAACTCCAACCTGCCAAATGCATTTATTAATGGAGTCTTGTTTCTTTACCAGCTCTTCTCCCTATATATACATCCCCTTCCTCACTTCCACAACTCATTCCCTGCACAACCTTGGTGTTTATACATTTATATAGTACATTATGCATTGATTATTTATATACATTTAAGAAAAACAATAACTGATATGGGTAGCATCGATTCTTTCGGTAACAATTCTCACCATTTTAATCCATTAGATCCCGAAGAATTTCGAAACCAAGCACACCAAATGGTGGACTTCATCGCCGATTATTACCAAAAAATCGAAACCCACCCAGTTCTCACCCAAGTTCAACCCGGCTATCTCCGCACCGCCCAACCCGAAAACGCACCGTATAAACCCGAACCCTTCGATTCCATCCTCAAAGACGTTCATAACCAGATAATTCCAGGCATGACTCATTGGTTAAGCCCCAACTTCTTCGCATTCTTCCCAGCCACCGTAAGCACCGCTTCTTTCCTCGGCGAAATGCTCTGCACCTGCTTCAATTCCGTGGGTTTCAACTGGCTCGCCTCACCGGCCGCGACAGAGCTGGAGATGCTCGTCATGGACTGGTTAGCCAGCATGCTCAAGCTTCCCAACTCATTCATGTTTTCCAGCACCGGCGGCGGCGTCATTCAAAATACTACAAGCGACGCCGTTTTGGTCACTCTCGTCGCCGCCAGGGAACGGACGATTCATAAACTCGGCCCTGGTGGTCACCTGCATAAACTCGTCGCCTACGCGTCTGATCAAACTCACTCTACGTTCACCAAAGCATGCAAAATCGCCGGTTTACACACGTGTAATATAAGACTAATTCCCACGTGTTTTGATTCAGCTTTCGCTTTATCTCCTGTTTTGTTCCGTACGGTGGTCGAGGCTGACGTGGCCGCCGGGTTGGTCCCACTTTATCTTTGTTTGACCGTCGGGACGACGTCAACTACCGCTGTTGATCCTGTACAGCCGCTGGCTGACGTGGCAAACGCTTACGGCGTTTGGGTACACGTGGACGCCGCATACAGTGGCAGTGCATGTATCTGTCCCGAGTTTAGGCATTACTTGGACGGAGTGGAACGAGTTGACTCACTGAGTTTGAGTCCACATAAATGGCTTCTCAGTTACCTGGACTGCTGTTGTTTATGGGTGAAGAACTCAAACTCTGTGGTGAAAGCATTGAGTACAAACCCAGAATACTTGAGAAACAAACCGAGCGAGTCAAACTCAGTGGTGGATTACAAGGACTGGCAGGTGGGTACTGGTCGAAGATTCAAGTCACTCCGTTTATGGTTCGTGTTTCGAATGTACGGAGTGGCGAACCTGCAGAGCCACATAAGGTCGGACGTACGGATGGCGAAGATGTTCGAAGGGCTGGTGAGATCAGACGGGAGGTTCGAGATAGTGGTGCCGAGGAGGTTTGCATTGGTGTGTTTCAGGTTGAAGAAGACTGGGTCGGGTCAGAGGACGGATGGGTTAAACAGGAAATTATTGGATCGGGTAAACGGAACGGGTCGGATATATATGACCCATACCGTCGTTGGTGGGATTTTCGTGTTGAGATTTGCAGTGGGGGCGACGTTAACGCAGGAATGCCACGTAGTGGAGGCGTGGCAGCTGATCAGGGAGGCAGCTGATGAGGTACTTAAAATGGAAGTTGGTGGGTGCGGTGATGGATTACGGGTTTGACCGGCCGGCGGCTTCTCTGTTCTGTTTAGTCATTTACTAGCTCGTACTAGGGTTTATTAATAATGGGTTAGATATCCATGTGCATCGTTTCCATCTTGTAAAAACAGGCACTTGTTTTTTTCTTTCTTTTCCTATGATTAGAAACAAAAAATACCATTGTAATGATCTATACGTTTAATACTTAAGAATGGAAGGAATGAATTATATTTAGTTTTTTAAAGTAAAAATATATACGATACATACAAATCCATTACATCATAATGAGTACATACGAAAATATAAGCATGATTAGAACTTATAACTTTCATAAGAAAGAGGCATTTCAATTATTTAACTAATCTTTCAGAAACATACAATCCAATTTAGATCTACAACTTTCGCAGAAAAAAAGATATTATAACCATTTAACTATAACCTTTCAGAAACATACAATCCGATCCGAATCTACAAGTACCGTAGAAAAAGAGACGTTCCAACAATTTAACTCAAAATTTTTGAAAATATAATATCCATCTCGATTTACAGAGAAAAAGACGTTTCAACCATTCAACTAAAAATTTTGTTAGCAGGAATTATATATTTTTCTTTGAATCCACACTCCCCACACACATCCATCCAAGGAGCCCTCCATCAACAGTCTCTCCTGGATCTGGCTATCCCTTGTCTGATCTCTTTGTTAATTAGGACAACCATAGTATGGCTTTGAGGCAAATATATAATGAATGAAGAAAAAGGTCTATGCACTCAGGATATGTTTTGTTGAAAAGGGTATATAATTAATTAATTGATCTACAAATGATCATATATTTATATTAATTAACACAGAGATTAAACAAGGGAAACAGAGGGATTGGAGGAGAGCCGGTATAGCTTGTTTATGAATAATAGATGTCATTTCATCTATAAGATACAAAGAATTAACAAGTAACCATAGAGGATTGAAGATGAAACAGCAAACCAGTGGGGAGGCATACCTAAAAGTACAATCAGGTGTTCTACAAAGGATTTTGCAGTGTTGCATAACCCAAACCACCTCTTTACATATCTTCAACTCTTGACAAGATTAGCCAACAAGAGACTTAAGCCCACCATGGATCTTCTCCAGTTCTGAAATCAGTTTCTACCCACGGAACAAAAACTACCTTCCCATCATCCACGTCTGCGTGAGCCAATGCTAAGGACTGGTTGCACAAGATAAAGAGAAATGTTTGGTTAATGATTTGATTGGTGATGTTAATGTATAAGTAATAGATTGATTAGTTTCCTATTAGCTTCGGTTTTTAAATAATTGCTTCAATCTCATGCTAATATACAAAAGCAGATTATGTATTTTCATTCATTTGAATCAATTTGAGGGATAAGAACAAAACCAAAAGATTTTATTTAAACTCGATACGTCTATGTGCACAGTAAAAAGTATGTACGAGCAAATAAAAAGGTCTAATTCTTGAGTTAGAATTGAGAAAAATTCAAATTCTATTATTTCTAACCAACAGAGACTAAAATAATCCAAAAGGAAAAGCAATATTAGTGTTGAATTACCAGAGGTGCAGGTCCTCTTACAACTCTTCCTTGATCATTGTATTGGGATCCATGGCAGGGGCAGATGAATTTGTTCTCTGCTTGATTCCATGGCACCACACATCCAAGATGAGTGCAGACTGCATTTATTCCGTATGTTGCAAGAGTTCTGTCCTTCTCCACAACTAGGTAGGTTGGATCTCCCTGAAATTTCAATACATATATTCAACAATCAATGCACCATCCTTAATGTAATCTTCATTTTCTTTTCCAATCAGACTAAGATTTTAGAACATAATCATTAGATCAATTAAACCTTTCTTCTACGTAAGTTTGAAATTTCAACATCACATTGACAGATAAATCTTTGGAGAAAAAGAAAGAATCTTGAAACAGAATAGGGTGAGAACTGAGACTCAGTCAAGTCATCAACTGGTCATAACATATGAGGCATATGTAATTGGTGGTATCCAACTTAGTAATATGAAGGTAAGGGTTAGAAAAAAAATTAAGAGATAGAGTATCTCTAGGAAATACTTTGTTGAAAATGGGAGAAAGAATGATGAGATACTGATAGAAAGACTAAATTTTTAATTTGTAGTTGTCAATATAAATCTTTGAGCACATGGACATATATAAACACTAACACGATTCTTAAAATTTCAAATCCATGAAGTATAATTAAGTCTAATTCACGAATTATAATTAAGTTTAATACATAACCACTTTGGAAAACTCAGAAGACACATATCAATTATCATATTTATAACTTACAGTTAACTTTAACTCTCCAGTAAAACAAAGAATTTAGACATGTCCAAATTTGCAGATCATTATTTTCAACAGTAAGATTGTAAGAGTTGTGGGTTATGGAGGTATAAACTATACATATCCAACAAAATCTTGTGAAAGTAAAAGATTATCCAAATTACAATTCCAACAAGTTCATACGGCTTTAAGAAATCTAAAGTAGCTCTTGGAATTTGAATATAGATTGGTTTGTGGAGAACATTTTGCAATAATATAGAGAGATACCTTGAGTCCTTGTGTGAGGGTACGATCTCCAGGACCATGATTCTTGAGCCACTCGGCTGCAAGGACATCATTTCCCAGCGCATCCTTTGCAATAGTACCACCACCAGCACCTCCGCCACTGCATCACACCAATAAGAACAAATTAACCCAGAGATTCCTATTTGATTGTTAATTAATTTTCGTATTAGTAAAAGAAAATCAGATAGTAAAGGGAAAAAGGAAGTTACCCAGGAGGGGCAAAGAAAGTGGCATAGGGAACCAACATGAAGCCAGTGGGAAGAGAAATAGCACCCAAAAGAAGCAGGTTCATAAGCTGCCTCTTACCCATGTCAGGTACCCGATCATCGGCAGGGATGCTGGTTGCCTGGCAACTAATTCTCATCCCACCTCTATCCCTCCGTTTCCCCATCTGGGTCCTTGCTGGTTTCAGCAAAATCCCATGTGATGAGCAGAAAATCCCACTCTTGCTCGAGCATAGCTACCCAAAAACACAAAATTCAGTACAAGAAAGTTTTCATTTGTCAATTGGAAGAGTTAGTGAGGTGGGTTTTGTGAGGTCTTACCTGGGTTGCAGGTGAGAGAGTGGAGGAGGCCATGGTGTTGAGGATAATTGAATGTGGGGAGACGAATGGTTACTGGTTAAAAGTATGGAGAGAACCAGGTTCAGGAGTGAAGGAGCAGATAAGGCAAATTTCCATGATAGCTTCGTGGATTGTAGCCACAAGTTTTTAGATGATTCTGGTTCTTCTGCATCTCATCTCAACTCTATGGGCCTTAATAATATATAGCCCACTTCGCCTTCCATGTCAGATTTTTGCATGACCAAACCAAAACACAGTAGTTTATTAGTCAAAGACTTTGAATATCAATAAAAATATAATACTCTGAAACTTATGCGAATGTATTATGTAGTAATAGTAATCGGTCTATAATATTTAATTTAATAAAATCGAATATTTAACTCGCTAAGTTTTTATAGTGCTACAATAATCAAAGTTTGGTTAAATCTCGGCTAATCTATTAAATTTCTGAACATAATGATATTTTATGACGATTAGATTCTCTTAATAAGAATAGTTATAATAACTTAAGTCTTTATATAATCTTAACAATGACATCTTTTTTATGACATTAAAGGGTTTTCTCTTATACTATAGATGTTCATATAATACTATAAATACCTAAAACCAAGGAGGAGGAGATTTTATGTAAAGACTCTCTAAAACAATCAAATATATGGATGGCATTACTATATAAAATATATATATCTATATATAAGGGTCCAGCCCAAAGCAGTTGAAGAAGTGCTTGAGGTCCAAAGTCAATCAACTATATGGATAGAAGAGAAAACCAGCCCCGTAAACAAAAGGCCAATTCAAAAAGTGAATAAAATTAAAGAGCAATAAGGAAATTGAATAACTTGATTCAAATCCTAAATAAAATGAATAATGGTGGGTGAGCATAGGCTCTTTTCTTTCGGCTTAAAGCAACTAGGTCTATTAAGCCCACTTTGTATACTCTCTCTCTCTCTCTCTATACATATAATATATATATATATATATGTACATACACACACATACCCACATAAAGAAACATAAAGAAATTGATATTCTACGCGTGGGTGAAAATGGGCTTCTTTTGTATTAACAAAAAAGAAAGATGAAATGGGCATATGGCTTGGCCTTCTTTTCTTTAGTCTTTCTCTTGCATCAATGCATGCAAAGATACACACACCCTCCTTCATATATATATGTATATATGTTCATTTTATAAGGCCAAAGAAGATACTCAAAGATAAAAGTGAAGAGAACCCACACCCACCAAAAAAAAAAAATCAAAAGATAAAATGGGTATCAATTAATTAAAGCTATGAAGGATGTAGTAGATGGAGCAAGTTTGAAGCAAACCCAAATAACACCAAAAGAAAAAAGGGAACGATCTTCAAAGTCATTTCGAAGTTATGAATGCCTTAAAGTTGTTTGGTTTCTTCCCGTTTTATATATATATATATAATCATAAGGGTATCTCTATGTTCTCTTCCTTCCATTTGCAAATTTAATTACCTATACATACATGTATATGTAGTTATCATTATGGCTGAGGCATAGCTTACGTTAGTAAAGATACTTAGAGCAATAAGCTTAAACCCCCTACTCTCCACACTTCCCGCAATTGACGATCCCAACCACCAACTTAGGTTTAAATCTTCGTTGTGGGTGACTTTTTATTGGGTGTAGATTTTCAGGGAACAGTAAGTGGCTAATATGTCTATATGTATACGTGTATATATAGACATAAATATGAGGATTATAATGCATGATCTTTTCCTGTGAAATTGTAATCACTTTGTCTTCAACAAATCATACAAAGCAATCCAAAAGTAGCGGCTTGATATATATAAATTATATTATATGGCGAACACTTTTGTCTAATAGTGTACTTGCCATTATAAAGTCGATATGTATATATATATATATATATATTATATTATATAAAGGGGTAGAAGGTCCATGTGGGTTTGAATCACTAAAGGCATGGTCAAAGTAATAAATGGAGATGGGTGAATATAATTTCAAAAGTGGGTGACTTGTGCTTATGTGTTTGGGACCTTTGCTTCTCCCTAAAAAAAAAAAAAAAAATTGACAATTCAAATGATTGTTTTTATGCCCTTCTGAAATGAGAGTGTTTTCTTGTGTTCCCATTAACTTTAACGACCTATATGTATAGGTTTTTGCATTATAAGAGACAAAATATATGAACAATGGAGCTTTTTTCTTTGGAAAGTTCTAATGGTGTTGGGTGTTTTTTTTTTTTCTGTCTCTCATCTACTCATGACATATTAGTCTTTTATAAGTGTCTCCACCGTCAAAACATGTCTTTAAAGAATTTATATATAAGTCCAAGAACATCACTCATATATATATATATATAATATATATATATATGGTATAATAGGGTCAATTCAAGAAGAATTAATAAACACGAGAAATTTTTATTAGTTATTAATAATTCTGTCGTAATAATTAAAAGATTATGAATTTAATCTTTCTAAACGATAATGACAATAATTTTTAATTACAGAGAAAAAATTACGAGTTTTTTTTTTTACTCTGGCAGGTATTAATTTTCATTTATAAATAAAAAATAATAATTTCAATCATCTTTTTTTATAACAAAATTAACTCTTAATCAAAGAAGAAGAAGAAAATATATCATTAATAGATGTCGTAGTTATAAAACTTTTAGACCATCATTATCAAAATTTTAATAGTTATTTAATTACTTATTTTAAGTTAAAACATGATGTGAATTTTACTTTCGTTTTTTAAATTTATAGTTTGTAAATATAAATTGAACTTTTAAATATTTAAATTTTTTAATAAGTCACTGTAAAATGATTATATAAAAAAATAAATTAATTAAAAATAATAATAAAATGAAGAGAATGGGAACCGCGTAGAACACAATAATATTGATTTTAATTCTTCTACATCATCGAATTAATTTTGATTCGATTAACTAATTAATCGTTTGATTAATTTTGTTAATTAACATTGAATTTACATGCTCAATGTGGGAAGGGTGCATACCACAATCACATGTGAAACATATACTTGAGAGAAAATTTTCTAGAAAGATTTTATACATTTACATATATATATGTATATAAAATAAAAGTATATAAACATTTAAATTTATTAAGATAAAGAAAGAGACAGATGAAAACAAAAAATGCAGTTAAGTTTTGCAGCAAAAATTTAAATAAAAAAAAAAAAAGAAGTTATACAAAATTTGAATATATATAACCAATAGTGTATTGACATATAGACTTAAGATATGACCCACCTGATCACTACCCATTTTCCTTCCCAATAAGCAATAAGAAGAAAAGCATATGCAGCACTGTAACTTATTACTTCTGCCTCTTTCTTCCCCTCCTGCAAATCAAAGGAGTAAACTTCAAGTCTCTCCCTTACTCATACCTTCTTTCAACAAACAAAGAAAAGAACCATCATCATCATTTCATTTCTTCTTCACTTGTCTCTTTTTTTAGTTTTTAACAATATGACATGACCCATTACTTACACTACTTGTTTATCTAACCTGATTTCAACATAAACCGCACTGCTCCTGTTCTGCGTTGTTTCAATGGAGTTTGATCTTGAAAACCCTTTGACGCACTCTCTTGAACCCAACTTCTCCAGTACAGAAACCCCAACTTCTCTCTTTCTGACTGAGTCTGATCATATGCCATCCCAAGATTACTTCAACTCCCTCAAAGCTGCTAACTTTGACTTATCTATCCGACAAGAGGCCCTCTCTTTAATCTTACGGGTTTTTTTTTTTTTCTTTTTCCCTCTTTCTTGTCAGTGTTTTGTGCTTTTTCTATGAGGATTTATGAAGTGTTGAAAACTTTTTTGTTAATCTCAGTTTTCAGGCAACTTGGATCCATTCTTGTCCTACCTTGCTGTTAATTATCTGGATCGTTTCTTATCAACCGGAGGAATGCTGGTAAATCTCTTCTGGGTTTAATGGTGATTTTACATTTGGCTTGTTTTTTTTTTGGGTCAATCTGATGAAATCCTAAATGTTGAACATGTTTTTTCAGCAACCTAAGCCATGGGTGCTTAAGCTTCTTGCAATCTCTTGTGTCTCTTTGGCTGCCAAGATGAAAACTACCCAGTTCTCTCTTTCTGATTTTCAGGTACGACACAATTAACTCGCCCAAGTTTGACATGGTATAATGTATGTACATAAACATACCCGTGTATGTATGTATAGGTTGATGGAGGGATTGTATTTGACACACAAACAGTAGAAAGAATGGAGTATCTCATCTTGGGAGCTTTGAAATGGAGAATGCGCTCAGTTACTCCCTTCTGTTTCCTTTCCTTTCTCATCTTCTCCGTGTTCAATCTCACCGACCCTTCACTAATCCAGGCCCTGAAATCCAGAGCCACTGAAATCATCTTCAAATCTCAATATGGTAACTACCCACCAACCAGTTCCATCATATTTATGCGTATACACACATACACAAACATACCCACCAACAATTTTCATCATATGTATGTATATATATATACACACACACACACACACACAAATATACCCACTAACCATTTTCATCATTACCATGAACTTGCAGATATAAACGTTTTAGAGTTCAAGCCATCAATAGTTGCAGCCTCAGCTCTTCTCTCTGCCTCTCATGAACTGCTGCCATTACACTTTTCTTCCTTTAAAAGAGCTCTCTGCAACTACTCGTATGTAAATAAGGTATACAAGATTGTATTTACTGGTAATCAAGTTTGCTTTTAATAATAAATTAATAAACTGTAAAAATGGTTGCAGGAAAGGATGTTGCAGTGTTATAATGTAATACAGGAGGGAACACTGAGGGACGGGTACGAGTCGGTGGTGGAGAATGTGTCGAGCTCGGAGACGCCGGTCAACGTTCTTGACCAGCAGTTCTCGAACTCACAGATCAGCGGTGATGATGAGAAGACGACGGGAATAATCATCAGCAGTGGGCCCAACGCCGACCGAGATATCAAGAGGAGGAAGATCAGGAACAGTAATCAGACGGTCCAGATCACTCACATCCAACACTGCACTTAGCTGATCACGCCACGTTATGTTCATCAATGATCATCATCATGATCTGGGAGTGGGGCCCATTTGAGAGTGACCCCACTTGGTCCAGATAACTAAGCAGTCGAATTTTCTTTTCTTTTTTTTTTCCTTTTTTTGTTCTTATAAAGAAAACAGAAGTAAAAAAAAAAAAAAAAATGGAGGAAATTGGTTTGGTAAGAGAGAGAGAGAGAGAGAGAGAGGTGAAGTTGATGGGTGATGGATAGAATCACTGCTGCATGATCTTCATCAGTAAAAGCTCATTTTTACTGTTTGTTTGCAGTCTATATATATATATGTATGTATGTATGTATGTATAGGTGAAACTATAAAGGAGGGCAGTTAATTAAGTTAATTAAAGATTAGTTAATTTCTTCAAGTGTTGGGTGATGGGGAAGAGAAAAGGTATGTTGAATTGTGTTCTGTTCTGTTTTTATTATTGTAGTTGTGTCTCTGAGTTCATAGGCCAGAGGAATGACAACGTAGCCATATATATATATATACATATACACATATATATATATATTATAATATGACAATATTCATTTCTGGGAAAATGGGATGCCTCAATTTCTTGATACATTTTTTATTAATTAAAAAAAAAACTTTACAACCAGTCAACTAAGAATTCTCAAATTTAATAGGAATAACAAATGCATTAAAGTAATTTAGATTAGTTTTAATAAATGAAGATAAAAGCTATTCTACTTCATAATTCTTTATTTAATTTATATAAACACTAATCTCGTTAAATGTAATAATATCGATTTACATAGATAAAGAAGAAAATATTCTCTATTTGTTCGAGTGATTCATAATCGATTTATATCGATAAAAGAAGAAAAAAATTCAAGATTTTACATACTGCTTTTGATCGAAAAATTAATATGATTTAATTTATTTCGTACTCTTCGTTTAATAAAAAAATAAGTAAGAGTTTATATGATCACACTTAAAAAAATGAGTCAGATTTTAAAAGATTAAATTTACGATATTTAAGAAATAAATAATATAAAAAAATAATAAATAAAAATGAAGTAGAAGAACTTAGATTCCAGATGATCAAATTAAAACTTCAAAAAGTCTTTCGAATTCTTGAAGAATGAAGGGTAAATGGATTAATCAAAAAATATTTCTTACTTCTTATTATAAGATTTTATAATGAATCTGCAGATATTTGATTAAAAAAATTTAATATTTTTTAATAAAAATGTAAAATAAATAAAAATAATAATGAGGATAATTTTTATTTTGGAATTTTAAGAGAGGGTTTTCATTTTTTTTTTAAAAAATATTAATTATTATATGATTAAAGATTGAATTAGAATTAGAATTAGAATTAGAATATGGAAGAGATGATGGTATGGTATGGTATGGTATGTTATGGAGGGGGGATTTAGAGGCCCACATTTGGAGATCCTCTGTTTTCTTTACTCAATACTAACAACTCATGGACAACAGAAGGACCATTTGTCAACCCAAATCCACATATATCTACATACATATATATATATATAATTATCTTTAATTTTTAATTAAATTCACATATATATTATTATATTAATTTAATAAACATATATTTTCACTGTTTTTTTTTTTAAAATTAAATTAGCTTTAGCCATAAATAAGTAA